ACTCAAAGCAAAGGAAAATAACCCAACCAGCCGCACACGGAGCACACAAAAGACAACAGCATACATAAGTAAACCTAGATCCACGCAATCATACAGAGAGTAGGGATATCAGCGAACGCACTGCGCAGCGTGTTCGCGCATGTCTTACATCATGCAGAAATCTATGAGGCGCACGGCCGACAAGAAAAAATGGCGATCGCTGAAATCAGGTCGCGGATCGATCAGGCTCAGCGCAGGCCGGCAAGGAGTAAAAATTAAAATCGACACTCGACAAGAAGCCTGTTTGTTGGTTTGCTTGAGCTCAATTCATTAAGGAAAGGAGACATCATGAGCTAATATTCTTCGGCACCCATGCCTGGTAAACGTTCTCAAGTAAAGACATGACGAAGGAAGACGACATTCGTAGCTGGATGGAGCTATGTTTGCAACAAAGAACAGCACTCGTACTTGAACAGGCCACCTGGTGACCTTTGGTTGCGTCTGAAACTTACTTGTTGATTTTGCTCTAGCCACGCCAAGCAAGTTTCCAAGACTTGGGCTCCTACTCCCTTGTCTAGACAGCCATGACTAGATCTAGAAACTACTTGGGCAAAAGTCATCGACGCGAGAACAAGGAACAAGTAGTATTGTCACTGTCATTCAAAACTTCAAAAGCGCCATATGTGTGGGTGCCCAAGCAATCTTTCGATTATTTTCGCGCGAACGCCTCCGTGGATTTCCTCCAATCTTGGCATGTGTAGTCCACATGGTCAGGCCAATCCAATGACGTCTTCAAAAGGGGACTTCCCAGGTTAGATCTTGCCAGGTACCAGCCGACGTTCTACGAAATCTAGCTGACGATCGTCCATTTTTGAGCTGGAAGAAAGTGCCTCGGAAAACCTGTGGACGACGTCGAGAACAGTGTAGTAAACGATAAATGTATTCGTAGTAACCTTTGTAGCCATCGCCCAGCGTCGTAGAGGGAAGCTTCGAAGTAGCTCGGCTCTAGCTGGTCTTCTTCCTCAGACACTTCTTCACCATTCCGTCCTTCTTTTCCATCCTGATTTACTTGCGAATTTTCCGGGTGTGAATGGTCACGGCTTGTTGACCGCGTTAGATGTGCGCGAGATCACCTGCGCAGTGGGCTGCGCAGTGCGTTCGCTGATATCCCTTCAGAGAGATGGTCTTCTTCAAAATAAGAATAGAACCACTGTGAGTTCCACTTCCTGTGCACATGCCAGCACAGTCTATGATTTATTGCATGCATTCTCTGTTGTCGGAATCTCTTGCTCAGCACTCGTTTTGTTCTCCTCGTGTCGACATCTATTTTGATTGTGCATGCAAGAGGCTAAGAAGATCGTGGATCTCTATTGTAAAAACCCAACACACCGCAAGTATCTTACATAGTGCGAGCATTGTTGTCCGAGCACTCCACCATGGAAGCCAGCCCTCTTGTCTTGGGTTGCAGACGCGGTGACCTACACAAAACACACATACACACACACACACACACACACACACACACACACACACACATCAAACCCCCTTGCTGCACTGAATCGAGGGGTTTTCCCCAGACCCTGAACACTTGTGCACTGTTCCGCAGGATACATACATGTACTGTAAAAGCAGAACATTTCGTTGGTATTCTATTTTCGGTGACTTCGGTGCCGACAATTTAACCTAAAATAAAGTGCATCGGAAATTTCGGTACTAGTACTAGTACACTTATCTGGAAAACGGGTTTACCGAAAATTTCCCCCCACCAAACCGCCCGATTTTGGAGAATACCGAAAATACTACACCACCGAAATTTTCCGTTTTTATAGTACATGACAGCATTGTGCTGATATGATCCATACACATACATCGCTTGCATCCGCACCGAAGCCTGTGGTTTTTGTGCTGCGGATTGGAGGTGCTTGGAGGATCACGAGGCCGATCATGAACTATCGCTTGCCAGCTATGATATCACAAGATCTAGAACGCCACCCCAAGCAGCAGCAGCAGCAGCAGTAGTACCACCACCACCACAAACACACATGGCCTTCTCCCGGCATTTTTTTTACATACTCAGAAACGTGCACCCCCCCCCCCCCCCCCCACACACACACACAAACATACACAAATGCGCGCGCGCACACCATGGACACACACACACACACACGTACACCCCCCCCCCCCCCCCCCCCCCACACACACACACAACACATTATACGTGTAGGAACAGTTCGCAAACAAGCAAGCACGTACCGAGCGCCGACGTTGAGATCCTCGCAGGTGAAGCAGCGAACCACACCGCCGACACTGGACGGAGAGTTCTTCAGCTGGGCCTGGTCGAATGGTACGGCCGTCGTACCCAACGCAGGCCGTGTGTGAACGAGGGCGTGCGCGGAGGACTGACCAGTGACGAACAATCTGACAAGAAGACAACACACAGCAGGGTTCTAGCCAGGGAATTGCACACTCTTGGGGGTTACGTAATCTCAATCTGATAAGAAGACAACACACAGCAGGGTTC